GCCTCCCAAAGTGCTGGGATTACAGGCTTGAGCCACCGCACCCGGCCTAAGTGGTAGTTTCTTAAAGATTATTTGCAGTGTGTATCAGAAACCAAACTTTTCTCAGTTACTTTAAGACCACAGTTTTGTCCTTTAGTCATGATAACATAAGCATCCATGTATTGCTTCCTATGCTCATGTACCTTGTCATTTAGCAAACTGCTCTTTATAACTTTCTCAATATTGGCAATCCTGTCGGTCCTGGTCAGGTCCGACAAGCAGATACTTGCCTGGAAGTAATTTGAGTCTCAAAGATGGGGCTTTTCTGGATGTATGAGTGAGATGGGCTTCGAATTTTCAAAGGAAACCATTTTTATAATATCATACAGTTGATTGCTCTAGCTGTTGGGAGGAATCAGAATCTGCAATTAATAAGGGCCATTTGATTGATGTGCACATGAAGGTTTGAGAAATACTGCTTTAGGTTATCCACGCGATCTGCACAGTGCGAGTATATCGTCTGGCTTAGGCATTCTTCCAAACAGCAGGCTATATAGGTCTTCACATTTCATGCAATCAGTAAGTGTTCATTGAAAAGGATAGTTAACTGTGTGAAAAGATGTTAACGTGGATGGTTCTAGAAATATAAGTTTAGGTGGATTGTCTCTTGTTACATAACGTATTATAGGAGGAAGGGCATTGCTTTCTGTGAAATCCCTATGTAGCTCAGTGTCCTGTCAAAATCAGAAGTTACCTGTCATTGTTTTCTGTTCTCTGCTGTTGCCTTCATCAGTTGTGAGAATGGAGAAGACCACTGGTGGCAGCATGTGTCTGGGGCCAAAAGGGAGTGTGACGGCTTAGGATTGGGTACTTCCTGGAAGTTGGAGGAGCCTAAGGGGGGCTGTGAAGCAGAACTTCGTGGGCCCTCTTCAGCCTGGGGGAGACTCTGTGTGGGGTGTCTCGAGTGTCCTGGGGACCTGCCTTTGTATTCACCATACCTTCTCGGCCATTGCATTCGCAGCTTGGTCCCCAGTGGTAGGCAAAGCTCCTGCCCTTGACACATTATGCTGTCTTTATGAGGAGCTCTGTCCACATGAGGTACTGTTTCAGATGTGTGATGCCACCGTAGACGGACTCAGCAGTGCTTTCTCTTCTCAGATTTTGGACTTCGTTGTATGGTTCCCTTTCTTTGGGAAAGATAATGAGCAAAAGTACATTAAGTACTATGTAGATAGATTGCATAATGATGTTTCACAGGTATATAAGTCTCTCTTCTTTTTTTTTTTTTTTGAGACAGTTTCGCTCTTGTTACCCAGGCTGGAGTGCAATGGCGCGATCTCGGCTCACCACAGCCTATGCCTTCTGGGTTCAAGTGATTCCTCTGCCTCAGCCTCCTGAGTAGCTGGGATTACAGGCACACGCCACCATGCCCAGCTAATTTTTTGTGTGTTTTTAGTAGAGACGGGGTTTCACCATGTTGACCAGGATGGTCTTGATCTCTTGATCTCGTGATCCACCCGCCTCGGCCTCCCAAAGTGCTGGGATTACAGGCGTGAGCCACTGTGCCTGGCCTTATGAGTCTCTCTTAACCCTCACTGTCCAGTTAAAAAAAATGGTCTTTTTTTTTTTGGTCTTACCAACAGAGGCATTGATTTGGTTTTCAACTGATGTTGGACCTTTTAATCAAGTGCAACATGGTTAAAATGGTATAAAAGGGTGTATACAGTGAAAGATAGGGTTCTCTCTCACTCTTCCCTTCCCCCAAACATTTAGCTGAGTTTTGTATATCTTTCTGTAGCCTTGGAGACTAGCTGTATCTCTGTCTCCCTCCCTCACTTAGGTATGCAGATTGGAACATTACTATGCACTTGTGTGGGTTTTACTTAACTATACCTTGGAGATTGTACCACGGTAGTTCATTGAGTTTTTATTACTTTTCCTGAGATTGTTTATAAATTGGGTATGATTAGTTGTTCACTTAGAATTATTAGTATTTGCCTTGGAATTAAATTAGTATGGTTTATGTAAGTATTTGCTTAGAATTGAATGCTCAAAAAATATAAAGCAAATGATAGAGAAAATAGGTAACCGTGTCAGGGTTAAGGGCTTCTTGATACTTGAAATTTCTAGAGTTTAAATAAAATTTGTATTTCAGTATAGAAAATCACTATTCCCGATTTATTCCTGCGACAACAAACAATATATGTGTATTCAGATCTTCAAGAGCTGATTTCACATTTGATAATCTTATGGAGATTACAGAATTTTAGAATGAAGCCATAGAGTTGCAATTTAGGATCTATATTGATGAGGCAGGTAAATATATATTTACTGCATTTAACTAGCTAGGTAGGTAGTCAGGTGAGCTCAGATACTAGAATAGCTTTTAAAGGAAAGCCTGAGCCAGGTGCAGTGGCTCACGCCTGTAATCCCAGCACTTTGGGAGGCCGAGGCGGGTGGATCACGAGGTCAAGAGATCGAGACCATCCTGGTCAACATGGTGAAACCCCGTCTCTACTAAAAATACAAAAAATTAGCTGGGCATGGTGGCGCGTGCCTGTAATTGCAGCTACTCGGGAGGCTGAGGCAGGACAATTGCCTGAACCCAGGAGGCTGAGGTTGCGGTGAGCCGAGATCGCGCCATTGCACTCCAGCCTGGGTAACAAGAGCGAAACTCCGTCTCAAAATAAAATAAAATAATAAAATATAAAATAAAGGAAAGCCTGAGACTTTTTTTCATGTTTGAAGCATCCTACAAAAATATCTTTGCTTTTAAGAATGGGTACGTTTCTACCATGGGCAAGAAAACAAGACTCTGCCTCTACAAAAAGTAAAAACAGCTGGGTGCAGTGCCTCACACCTGTAGTCCCAGTACTTTGGGAGGATTTCCTGAGCCCAGGAGTAGGAGACCAGCCTGGGCAACATAAAGAAACCTCATCTCTACAAAAATTTAAAAAATTTAGTTAGCCATAGTGGTGCCTGCCTGTAGGCCCAGCTACTCAGGAGGCTGAGGTGGGAGGATCCCTTGAGCCTGGTAGGTCAAGGCTGCAGTGGAGCATGATAGCACCACTGCACTGTAGGCTTGGCAACAGAGTGAAGACCATGTCTTCACATCCCTCCACCCTCCAGAATGGGTGCATTTGATGTTAGACACGGATCATTATAAAGCTTACTTAATAAACTAACAAAATTCATGTGAATTTTCTCAGGTGTGAGCAAATAGGTCATATTGTATATAGGTGAATTGTTGTTGTTGTTGTTGTTTTCTGAGATGGAGTTTGCTCTGTTGCCCAGGCTGGAGTGCAGTGGCGTGATCTTGGCTCACTGGGGCCTCCACTTGCCAGGTTCAAGCAGTTCTGTGCCTCAGCCTCCCAAGTAGCAGGGATTACAGGTGCCTGCCACCATACCCAGCTAATTTTTGTATTTTTATTAGAGATGGGTCTCACCATTTTGGCCAGGTTGGTCTTGAACTCCTGACCTTGTGATCCACGCCCCTCAGCCTCCCCAAGTGCTGGGATTGTAGGTGTGAGCCACTGGGCCCAGCCTGAATGTTCTTTTTTAAAATAAGGTATATGCTCTAATAATTGTGGTTGAGTGTCATGATGCCTGCAACTTTCAAATGATTCAGAAAAACAGATTACAGATAGCAAATAGGGCAAAGTGTTAATTGAATTCAGACTTAGGTATACTTTGTGTCTTTGAAATTTTCCATAATAAAAACTTGAGGGGAGGGAAGCATGCCTCTTTAAAGTTAATATAATTTTCACAATTTGACTTGTGGTATTGCTTAAATTGCAAGCAGATACACAACTTTTCTTAGATTTAGTCTGAAAACATTCTTCCTCTTGACACTTATGATTGAAGAGACTTTGATGTAATTTATTATTGAGAAGATTTTGAAAAAAGAAAATAAGTGAATTACTTTTAAAATGAAGGCAGAAATGGGGTACATTTTATTAAGGTGTGAATTTTTGAGTGTTTTGCCTGTTGATATATACCTTAAGTAAATAAAAGAGTCACTACTCTGTAATAGTTTATTTTTGAGACAGAGCCAACAACACCCCGGCCTGTTGTTGATCAGGCTTGAGTGCCCTGATGCAATCTGGACTCACTGCAACCTCCGCCTCCCGGGTTCAAGAGTTTCTCCTGCCTCAGCCTCCTGAGTAGCTGGGATTACAGGCGCCCACCACCATGTCCAGCTAATTTTTTGTGTTTTTAGTAGAGATGGGGTTTCACCATGTTGGCCAGGCTGGTCTCAAACTCCTAGCCTCAGGTAATTCACCCACCTCGGCCTCCCAAAGTGCTGGGATTACAGGTGTGAGCCTCAACGCCTGGACATATGTAATACTTAGTAAATAAAAAGTAAAAGGGATTGATTGGCATTGTCTTTTTTTGATGGCTAGAGTTAATATAAAAAAAAAATTAGGTCCAGGAGAATATTTTTTATTTGTACTGTAGAAAAATCAGAGACCAGTTTTCTCTCTCCTGCTTTTTTATTTAGCAGGGAAAATACTGCAAAGTTTCCCAAATTCTTTGACGTGTAAAGAAGTAGGATGTGGCAACAGTTGTATTTTCAGATTAATGAAAAGACGAGGTCAGCAAGTGATTTGCAGAGCCATAAAGATAATGCTTTGATTGTGAATTATTTACAGCTGGAAACTCTTACTGCCTCGTGCTGCTTTGAACTGTGGAAAGGATGAGATGTGATAAGCTGTGTGTGTGGGGGTGTGGGTGTGGGTGTGGCTTGTTTTCTGTAGGATATAGTATCGAGTTCATGCCTGCCAAAAGTTTGCTGAAATTATTCCATATCTGATTTTGAGGTACTGTCGTGTTTCTGTCTTGATATACTTCATTGCCAACTAATTAATTACAAAGCATTGTTTCCTAATGGGGAATATGGTTACTATGCTTTGTTCACTTGGAGCAGAATGTCAAGTGGTAATCTTAATTAAATATTTATAAGATCATATTCATGTTAGTGAATTTCTAGGAATAACACAGCCTTTTTTCTTCTTTTGTAGCATAAGCAGTACTATAATGGATGTAGACAGCACAATTTCCAGTGGGCGTTCAACTCCAGCAATGATGAATGGACAAGGAAGCACTACTTCTTCAAGCAAAAATATTGCCTATAATTGTTGTTGGGACCAGTGCCAGGCTTGCTTCAACTCTAGCCCAGATCTGGCAGATCACATCCGTTCCATACATGTAGATGGTCAGCGAGGAGGGGTTGGTTTTATCATTTCTTTTTTTCACTCCCTGTTTTCATTAGTTTTATTAATTTATAATTGCTAGTTAGGCTTTTTTGATGATAATAATTTGGGATTATTTTTACACAGGGTTCATTTTTTCAAGTGAATATTTAATAATTATTTCCCATATACTTGATAGAATCAAAGAAAAATAGGCTCTGTGTTGGATTTTAGTTTGCTTTTAGATATGTTATTTTAAAGAAATTAGACTTTTTAACATATGTTAGGTGGCAATATTATACATGAGTACCCTGTATTCCAAGGTTCTGATGTTTTGAGTTGAGAACATTTAGAATTAGGACTGTTTGGTTTTCCTTTGTTAGAGGATCCTAAATTATTCCTGATGCTTAATTAACTGGGGAGACTATTGGTACCAGGATTAGTATGGCAGTTCTATTAAATGACAACCTGAACTCGTTATTTGTGAGTGAGAATTGATCATCTTTCCCAGGTCTTGTCACAGCTGCTTTAGATAGAAAGTTCTGATTAGTCAGTATTGACCTATATCTTTTCAGGAATACATTTAATTGTGTTAGTTCATGTAACTTCTATTGGGTAATGAGAAAAGAGCTAAGCAAATTGGGTAAGCCAAAGGTAATGCACCAAAATAATAATTTACACATGGTTTCAACTTTACCTAGATTTTTGTTGAATGTATTTTTCAAAATTAATGTCGCAGGACTGGTAATTTACTAATATTAGGCCACACGTCTCCTATCAGCTTGCCATCACTATTGAACAGATAACTGAGATGGTAAAAATCATCATGGTTTACGTTAGTGGGTAACTGTTTCCAAGGTTCTATTGATATTTTTTAGAGTATAGTATTGATCTTTTTTGTTTTTTTAAACATCCAGTCAAGCCAGCATTTCTAACATTTTAACTAGTGTTGTCATACTTGAATTTTATTTTACTTTTTTTGAGGCAGAGTCTCGCTCTGTTGCCCAGGCCGGATTGCAGTGGTGTGATCTTGGCTCACTGCAGCCTCTGCCTCCTGAGTACAAGTGATTGTCCTGCCTCAGCCTCCCGAGTAGCTGGGACTACAGGCGCTTGCCACCATGCCTGGCTAATTTTTATATTTTTAGTAGAGACGGGGTTTTGCCATGTTGGTCAGGCTGGTCTTGAACTCCTGACCTCAGGAGATCCGCCCACCTCAGCCTCCCAAAATGCTGGGATTATAGATGCAAGTCACTGTGCCTTGCTGAAGTTTCGTTTAAGACATACTCATCCCTGTCACAATATAATGTGTTAGCAGTCTTTGATTATTCAAACTTGATACGTAAACACTGGGACACTTGTCTTCTTGTTAGAGTTAATATGTATGATATCTAAGTAACAGTAAAATGTTATACTTACATATGATCTGCTAATGAACCATGTCCATCCTACAGCATATTCACTATAAAACTCCGCTCAGTGGTCAGGCGATTTTGGTAACCCAGGCTTCTCCCCCAGGCCATATGTCAGATACTTAGAGCGAAGTATCTTAGCAAGTTGGTTTTCTAGCTTTTGTAGATCAGCCTTTTGTGAGCCAGTGCTTGATGTCACTTGGTATATACCATTTTTGAGCATCATGGCATGATGTTTTTTTGTCACTTGAATTAGCAGTCGTATTTAGAATCACTAGCTATTTGGAAGATCACTGGGGTTCTCTTAGTAGATGTGGGAGAGGGGAATTTCATATTTCTGAGTCCTGGAATCCTGCAAGTTGAATTGGCATACAACCTGATGAGAATTACTGCTCTTTACAGATTTGTAGGAAAAATGCAGTTACAAACAGATTTTTATTAAATTAATTAATTAATTAATTAACTTATTTATGAGACAGAGTTTGGTTCTTGTTACCCGGGCTGGGGTACAAAGGTGTGTTCTCAGCTCACTGCAACCTCTGCCTCCCAGGTTCAAGCAACTCTCTTGTCTCAACCTTCCAGGTAGCTGGGACTACAGGCATGAGCCACCACATCTGCCTAACTTCTGGTATTTTGTAGAGACAGGGTTTCACCATGTTGGCTGGGCTGCTCTCAAACTCCCGACCTCAGTGATCCACCATGACTATTGGGCCTCCCAGCACTGATTTTTAAAATAATTAAATGTATCATGTAATAATCACTGTAACCATATACTTGTATCTTAGTGATGTTATAGAACTAGGTATGAAAATCTTGATATTTTTCCCATAAGTGTAATGTTGAAATGAAAAATCTTCCATGTCATTTCTTGAACCCTTATTCAAAATACCGCTTGATTAGCAATAATAAGATTCTCTAGCTGATTTTAAGAGTAATGCTATTTTGACCAAAGATAGGGGTCCTGATCTTTGAAGGAAATTATTTGCTAAACTATAAATGTAATGCTTCAAAGAATGGAAAAAATGCATCCCAGTTGCTTCCGATATACCAGTTATTGATGTAGACTGTGCTGTTTTTTTTTTTTTTTTTTTTTTTGGTAGAGGTGGGATTTCACCATGTTGCCTAGGCTGGTCTCCAACTCCTGGACTCAGTCCATCTGCCCGCCTTGGCCTCTGAAAGTGCTAAGATGACAATAGACTATGTTTTGAGTGCTAAAATGTGAATGAGAGTTTGAAAACTTTGTACTACTATAAAAGACAAGAAAATTCGATCTGATTTTGTGCTTTGAGGTTGGCTTTGTGTTGTTGTTGTTTTGAGACAGAGTTGCACTCTGTTGTCCATGCTGGAGCGCGGGGGTGCAACCTCAGCTTACTGCAACCTCTGACTCCTCCGTTCAAGTGATTCTCCTCCCTCAGCCTCTTGAATAGCTGGGATTACAAGTGTACATCACCACGCCCAGCTAAGTTTTTAAATTTTAATAGAGACAAGGTTTCACCATTTTGGCCAGGCTGGTCTCGAACTCCAGACCTCGAGTGATCTGTCCTCTTCAGCCTCCCAAAGTGTTGGGATTACAGGTATGAGCCACCGTGCCCAGCAGCTTTTGTGTTTTGAAGAGTAGTTGTTGGCTGAAACATCAAATTTTTTTCTTTAAAATATTTTTTTTTTGCTGGGCACAGTGGCTTACACCTGTAATGCCAGTACTTTGGAAAGCTGAGGTGGGTAGATTGCCTGAGCTCAGGAGTTTGAGGCCCGCCTGGTCAACATAACAAAACCCTGTCTTTACAAAAATTAGCTGGGTGAGGTGGCACATGCCTGTGGTCTCAGCGCCTTGAGGGGCTGAGGAGGGAGGATTGCTTGAGCCCAGGCGGTCGAGGCTGCTGTGAGATTGGGCCACTGTACTCCAGCCTGGATGACAGAATGAGACCCTGTCTCAAAAAAAAAAAAACAAAAACAAAAACGTTTTTAATTTACAGTTCGGGGGCATTAAGTACATTTACCTTATTGTGTAATTGTCACCCATTCTCTGTCTCCAGAACATGTAAATTATCATCCCAAAGTGAAATCTGTACCCATTGAACAAACTACTTTCTGCTCCCACTAGTTCCTGGTAACCACAGCTCCACTTTCTGTCTCTGTGTATTTGACTGTTGTAGGTATCTAATATAAGTAGAAAACACCTGATTTTGTTGGTTTAATTATTTTTTTAGATTTCTTATTTCTTCTTTCTCTCTTAAGTGTTAAAGTGTCATCATGGAACAGAAACAGATGAGGAAAAAATTGGTAACCCTAGAAGATTTTATGCTTCTGATTATTGAAAGATGACAATTTTACTGGAGCAGTAAGTTAGCAAGATCTAAACTCTATTAATTTCTGTTCTTTTTCTCATTCTGCTATAATCTTTACCCTGGGAAAAAAACAAAACCATACAACCACTTAGCATCGTTTTTTTCCCTTTTTAGCTGTTAATGTTGCTGTGTTCATGTGGACTTCTTTGGAGGCTGAGTTTAGATTTTCCTGGCCTGATTTCTGCATTAAAATTAAACTAATCATTTAAACACCAAATTATGAATACACTTTTTTTTCTTAAATAGAGATGGGGATCTCACTGTCTTGCCAATTCTGGTCTTGCCTCAGCCTCTCAAAGTACTAGGATTGCAGGCGTGAGCCAGCATGCCCAGATGAGTATACCTTTTTAAAAAAGAAATCATGAGAGTGCTTTCTACAATTTCAAAAATAAAAACAAGACAGGCAAAAAGAGAATCTCTTAGTGTTAAATATGATAGAATTTTTTGTGTTATTTGGTTCATACTTTTTTATTTTTTGAGACAGTCTTACTGTTGCCCAGGCTGGAGTGCAGTGATGGAAGCTCAGCTCACTGCAGCCTCCACCTCCCAGGTTCAAGTAATTCTACTGTATCAGCCTCCTAAATAGCTGGGACTACAGGCATGTACCACCATGCCTGGCTAATTTTTGTGTTGTATTTTTTGTAGAGATGGGGTTTCACCATGTTGTCAAGTCTGGTTTTGAACCCCTGACCTCAGTTGATCCGCCTGCCTCGGCCTCTCAAAGTGCTGGTATTATGGGCGTGAGCCACCATGCCCAGCCTAGGCCCATGCTTCTATGTGTTACTGGTTTCTGAAGGTTAGACTCTGAGTTACCTTACTAATCAAATTTCAAATCCCAGAGTCCTCTTAATATACACCTAAGTCTTGGAAGGTGGGGAACTTGTAGGACTTTAGAGGCTCAATGTAAAATATGTTAGTGTATTTTCTTTCTTGGCTATTTCTCACATAAATACAATTTCTGGAAAGAAAGCTGTTTAGGTTTCTTGATAAACGATTTATTTTCTGTGGTCATTTCAGGTTTACTTTTGCATATATTCTTTGGTGTGTTTTTTGTTGAGGGCAAAGGGTGGAGATTTTGGGCAAGGGAGGAATATGATAGGGTACTATTGGAAGACTTGAATGAGTCCAGTTAACTGTAGCACTCAGGAGGTCAAGGTTGCAGTGAGCTGTGATTGTGCCACTGCATTCCAGCCTGGATGACAGAGCAAAATGCTGTCTTAAAAAAAAATGGTCTTGATGGTACCATGGAATCATCCGTCCAACTCCTCTGCCTGACTTTTGTGTTTCTTTTTTTCTTTTTTTAAATGAGACAGAGTCTTACTGTGTTGTCCAAGCTGGTCTTCAACTCCTAGGCTCAAGTAGTGCTCCCGCCTCAGCTTCTTGAGTTGGTGGGATTCCAGGAATGTACCATCACTCTCAGCTGCTCTTCCTGACTTTAGATGCTGTCTCTCTTTTCTTTTCCTGTCATTTTACTGAAAACAAGATCAGTTACTCGGTATAATTAGGCCTTTATTTTGGTGTGTAGATTATACTGTTAACTTGCTCTGCGTTTAGAATATATTTGGCTGATTTTAATTTACTGGTAGTAACTGAATTTTCTTGTGCATACTTAATCTGACAGGTTAACATTGCATATTTTGCAGTGGATTTTTTATTTACAGAAAGATTTTATGGATTTGGGCACTTTAGGTGCACAGGTGTTTATGCATTTATCTGTATTATACAAGCCATTTTAAGTATAGGCCATTCAAATACATTCAGGTACATACACTGGTACAAGAATACACTGGTTTAAGAATATTGAGCAAAGTGAAGGAGACTCAGACAACCCTTGGCTCCCAGGTTTATACCATCCTTATTCATTTTGGACATTTCAGAGAAGATTCCTGAAGGTAAAACCTATTCTGACAGAAACTCAGTACTTTCTAGAGTTCTCAATAGAAAGCCCAAACCTCCCTGTAACACTGAAATTTTGGACATCTGCACCTTACATGTAAGGCCCTTGAAAGCCTGAAGATTTCTTTGGCAGTCCATAAAAGTATGTATGTTTTTTGAGATGGAGTCTTGTTCTGTCACCCAGGCTGGAGTGTATATAGTGGTATGATCTCGGCTCACTGTAACCTCCACCTCCCAGGTTCAAGCGATCCTTCTCCCTTGGCCTTCCAAGTAGCTGGGATTACAGGCGTGTGTCACCACATCTGACTAAGTTTGTATTTTTAGTAGAGGTGGGGTTTTGTTGGGCAGGCTGGTCGTGAGCTCCTGACCTCAAGTGATCCGCTCACCTCAGCCTCTTAGAGTACTGGTATTACAGGCATGAGCCGCTGCACCCAGCCTAGGAGTCCTCCTATCTCATTATAGTACTGGGACTATAGGCATGCATCACCACGTCTGGCTAATTTAAAAACTTTTAGAGTTGGGATCTTGCTCTGCTGCCTATACTGGTCTGAAACTCTTGTCTTCTAGCCATCATCTTGTCTCAGCCTCCCGAGTAGCTGGGATTCTAGGCACAAGTCACTGTGCCAGTGCAGCGTAACTTGCTGTGTCATGAGAGACTGGACCTTGGATCCCTGTGTCTTATTCTGTTAAAATAGCCAGACCTTAATTTATTTTAAAATAGAAGAACCATGGCAAATTATATTCTTGAACACAATCCTTCCAAATTTGGATATAATTAGAATCCTATGGTATTTGGTTTTTCAGGGTCAATTTTAACAGTGGGAGAGTTTCTAAAAATAGTATAAAAATGTTTTTCACATATTATACATCTAAAAAGTCTCAGGTTTGAAGAAGACCCTTTTGTCAGATTTGGGAGTATTTTTATCAAAAGTCTTCCTAATGCAGGTTAGGAAAGGAAATAGAGCCTTGAACAGCTTTGCGTGTTTTCTTCTTTTTTTTTTTTTTAACGAACTCTTGCTTTTGTCCCCCAGTCTGGAGTGCAGTGGTGCAATCTCAGCTCAATGCAGCCTCTGTCTCCAGGGTTTAAGTGATTTTCCTTCCTCAGCCTCCCGAGTAGCTGGCATTACAGGCATGTACCAACCTGCTTGGCTAATTTTGTATTTTTAGTGGAGACGGGATTTCACCATGTTGGGCAAGCCAGTCTTGAACTCCTGACCTCAAATGATCCCCCGACCTCGGCTTCCCAAAGTGTTGGGATTACAGGTGTGAGCCACTGTGCCCAGCCTTTTGTGCATCTTTCTAAACGTCTCACCCCAGTATCGCTAAACACAGTTAACCTCGATCTTGTATGCCTACTTCATTTGCTATAAAATTTACCAAGCTGAAGATTTTGGTTTTTCTTTGAATCTGAAGGTGTTGCCTTAATTGTGTTACTAGACATTATTCCATGTAGACCGTGCATTCTCACTGATTAAGTAGTGGGAGTAATTGAATTACTCCCGTATAATTTCAGGATCTGCCATTATTACATATTTGCTCATAGAGAAAACAAATTTAGAAGCCAGATACTGTTACTTCTGCCAAATTTAGTGGTTGAGTACTGTTACGGAGAGGCAGTGCTTATTTCAAAGCAACTGAAGCCTGTATATTCTTTAGGAGTAATTCAGAGTAGGGGTCATTTAAGAATCTTTCTAACATGAAGGAGAATTCTTCCGTCACAAAAGTTGTTAGAGGAGTCATGTTGCTATTGTTCCGAAATGCTTTAAGGCATTTCTGTTTACCTGTTAGGTTAGTGCATTAAAAGTAGTGGCAAAAATGGTGATTACTTGTGCCTCAAACTAATAGTATGATACGTGAGAAAATTTTAAACCAACCCTTGATTCTTCTTTATTACTTGGATTGAAAAATAGGACTTTGAGCCGAGTAGTAGTAGTTGTTTTTTTTTTTTTTTTTTTGTTTTTTGAGACGGGATCTGTCTTTCAGAGCCCAGGCTAGAAGTGCAGTGGTGTGATGACACCTCACTGCAGCCTTGCCCCCTCTGGCGGGAGCAGGGACCACAGGTGGACACCACCATGCCTGGCTAATTTTTGCATATTTTTGTATAGATAGGGTTATGGCATGTCCTGGGCTCAAACAGTCCTGCCTTGGCCTTCCAAAGTACTGGGGTTAGAGGTGTGAGCCACTGTGCCTGGTGAGTCTAGTAGTCTTGATTTCAAAAATTGATAGCATTATCTGTGTTGTGATTATCAAACAATACTGAATTAATTGTTTTTTTTTTGAGAAAAGGTCTCTTGTCACCTATGCTGGAGTGCAATAGTGCCATCTTGGCTCACTGTGGCCTCCATCTCTTCGGCTCAAGCAGTCATACTGCCTCATTCCCCACTCAATAGCTGGGACTGTGGGTGTGTTTGCAATTATGCCTAGCCAATTTTTATTTGTTACTTTTGTAACAAAAACCAGGCAGGATTTTGGTGTGTCATCCAGGCTGGTCTCAAACTCCTGGCTCAAACCATCCACCCACCTTGGCTTCCCAAAGTGATGGAATTACCAGTGTGAGCCACTGCATTGGGTGCATATAAGTATTGCTTTGTATTTCTTTTCTGCTGTTAGATTTATTTTTAAAAGTTATTTTTATCTCTGAGAACCTTGAGCATTAGTTTATAAACATGTTCTAGGGTTGGGAATTTTGAGTATGAAGGAGGAAGTTTATGACTTTATCTAATACTAGCGCATCTGTCGTAGAGTCAGTCAAATGGCAGTGGTGGTATCGCCTTATTACCCATTTGACATAAGGTGGTATGGTTTTTGAGTAAAAACTGACCTCAATTATTTGTTTATAGACTCAGTTTTTCTAGTCTTTTAAAAAATTTTAGACTGGCTGAAGAAAGGTTCTTCAGTTCCTGGTGTATCTTTCTTGTGTTCTATATGTATGTAGTATATTACAGTCTTGACTCTGATTGCTCTTACCTTAGAAAAGAACAGAGCCTTTAAACGGTTCCTTCAAGATGATGATTGTGGTAGACCCTTCTGTTTGTGATGTTGGGAATCGGTTTTCATCGTTCGGTGTGATGGAAATAGCGTGAGTTAGGAAATTGACATGTCACTGGTAGGCAGATGATAAAGTGCATTGTTGGTCTCGGTGCTTTCCAAACCTACTTATACTTAGTACCCTGAACCTAGACTGTGGATCTATCGCGACTGTAGGGTAGCTTATTTCTGTTGCTTTTATTTAAATTTAATATTTTGTATTCAGTTTGTTCCATAACAAAATTTCTGTTTGAGGCAGGGTCTTGATTATGTCTCTGTGTCATAATCTAGATAAAAATAATTTTTCGTGATGAGAACAGTGTAGGAACAAATATTGTTAGTATGCATGTGAGACCAGACATAGCCGGTAAAAAATTGTACTTCGATAATTCTCAGTCATTCTTTGAAGTCGAAAATAGTATCTTCTAATTACCGTTTATTGATTTCATTAATTTTTTTTACGCCTTGATATTTTCCTGCATTTAAAATTAATGTTCTTTTGTACAATAAATACAGAAATGTAAATATTGGCTCATGGTCCCAGTTCCTAGGGATATATTGCTAATATTATATACATTTCCTTCTGAATGGTATTCTGTGATCATTGTGGTAATTCCTTATGAAGGCGTGGGCAGCGGTATTAAGGAAGTCTCATACTAGGATGTTTGGACAGTTTATCAAAAAGCATTTTGATTGGGTCATACATTCAGTAGCTCTTGTTAGTTGAAGGCTTGTAACATGTTAATTTGAGTGTATGAGGAATCAAACTCTTCTTGAGAAAAGTCATGAGATTAATATCGCTTTGTTTTTCTTAACAGGTATTTGTTTGCTTATGGAAAGGTTGTAAAGTATATAATACTCCGTCAACCAGTCAAAGCTGGTTACAAAGGCATATGCTGACACACAGTGGAGACAAACCTTTCAAGGTAAGGATGTATGTATGTAAGTTTTTCCTTTAATTGATTGATTGATTCATTTATTTATTTATTTTTGAGATGGAGTCTCACTCTGTTGCCCTGACTAGAGTGCAGTGCTGCCATTCTGGCTCCCTGCAACCTCCACCTCCTGGTTCAAGCAATTTTCCTGCCTCAGCCTCCCTCATAGTTGGGACTACAGGTGTGTGCTACCATAGCTGGCTAATTTTTGTACTTTTAGTAGAGATGGGGTTTCACCATTTTGGGCAGGCTGGTCTCGAACTCCTGACTGCAGATGATTCTTTTGCTTTGACCTCCTAAAGTGCTGGGATTACAGGCACTGGCTGTTTTTTTCTTTCAAATGTTAGTTTAAGCTGGGTGCAGTGGCTCATGCCTGTAATCCCAGCACCTTGGGAAGCCCAGGTGGGCAATCATGAGGTCAGGGGATCTAAACCATCTTGGCTAACGTGGTGAAATCTGTCTCTACTAAAAATACAAAAAGTTACCCAGGTATGGTGGCATGTGCCTCTAGTCCCAGCTACTGGGAAGGCTGAGGCAGGAGAATCACCTGAACCCAGGAGGTGGAGGTTACAGTGAGCTGAGATCGCACCACTGCACTCCAGTCTGGGGGATAGAGTGAGACTCCATCTCAAAAAAAAAAAAAAAAGTCAACTTAAACCGACATGTTTCCTAATAGGCATATTTTTGCTCCTCCACATTTTTTTTTTTTTAAAAACAGCTGTTAGTTTTAACATTCCTATACATGCATCGAATTTCAAAAGTAGACGGAGATAAAGATCATTTGATCCAGTTTTTTCTATTTGAAGTATAGGAGAAATGTTGCTGTTGGGTTAGGGTCTTGAAAATAGCTAGTGGGTAGGAAGCCACGTTGGTTTTTGTTGATAATACCTTGTGGTCTGGCTGGGTGCGGTGGCTCACGCCTGTAATCCCAGCACTTTGGGAGGCCGAGACAGGTGGATCACGAGGTCAAGAGATGAGACCATCCTGGTCAACGTGGTGAAACCCCGTCTCTACTAAAAATACAAAAAATTATTTTGGGCACGGTGGCGCGTGCCTGTAATCCCAGCTACTCGGGAGGCTGAGGCAAACCCAGGAGGCGGAGGTTGCAGTGAGCCGAGATCGCCCCATTGCACTCCAGCCTGGGTAACGAGAGCAAAACTCCGTCTCAAAAACAAAAAAAAACAACAACCTTGTGGTCTGATGAGGATTGCTTACAGTGAGGGGTTTCAGTATTTTCATTAGCAAACGACATTGACTGTATGTAAAACAAGTAAAGTATAGGACATCAGGGATTTGATTCCTTTCCCTGGGTTTTGAGGTCACACCCCTGAGCTTAGTTGTAAATCACTTTTGTCAAATTGCATGTATTCTTGGAAATCTTTATAAAGAGCAAGTTTCTGGAAAAATCTTTTCCGTTTATCTTTATGAAAAATTAAATATTTTGGTTTCTATTTATGGAAAGCAGCATATGCTGTAGAGATTAAAAGTTTCTGTATAAAGGAGTTTAATAGTTGATAAGACAACATTCATTTGAATGAATACTGCGCTAGCAGCTTCCCTTGGATTTCACAGGGAGTGAGGTCATTCTAGTGCAGTTGCTTTTAACAACAATTTTTTTGGAAAATGCAATCAACAGGTGAAGATGTTATAACAAAAGTTTACAGTAAGAATTCTTTCTCTCTCTCTTGTTCCTGTTCCCCCTTCCTTTCCAATATATAATTATTATTACTTGTTGCTTGTGAGGTTTTCTAGTATTTTCTTATGCAAGCACAAGCAGATAAATATGTAGTCTCATTTTCCTTTCTTCCTTGCACAAAGTCTAGCAAATTGAATACTGTCTGTATATTGCTTTAAAAAAACAAATTTAATTTTAGAGAAGCTTTAATTACACAGTTTAGTTGTTTTTCAATATACCAAGTTTCTTACATTCTTGAAATATTATACTGTATATGTGTACCTTGCTTTTTTGTTTTAATTTGAATAGTTTTTTTTTTTTCTTCCCGAGATGGAGTCTTACTCTATCTCCCAGGCTGGAGTGCAGTGGCGTGATGTCGGCTCACTGCAACCTTGGCCCCCTGGGTTAAAGCTGTATCTCCTGCCTCAGCCTCCCGAGAAGCTGGGGTTACAGGCGCGCGCCACCACGCCCTGCTAATTTTTGTATTTTTAGTAGAGATGGGGTTTCACCTTCTTGGCCAGGCTGGTCTTGAACTCCTGACCTTATGATCCTCCTACATTGGCCTCCCAAAGTGATGGGATGACAGGCATGAGCCACTGCGCTGGGTTCTAATTTGAATAGTTTTTGAGGAGCAGGTGGTTTTTGGTTACATTAGTTAAGTTCTGTAGTGGTGATTTCAGAGGTTTTGGTGCACCTGTCACCTGAACGTGTACACTATACCCTGTGTGTACTCTTTTATACGTACTGCCCACTTTTCCCTCCTAGTCCGCAGAGTCTAGTATATAATTCTTATGCCTACTCATAGCGTAGCTCCTAATTATAAGTGAGAACACACAATATTTGCTTTTCCATTCCTGAGTTACTTCACTTAGAATAATGGTTTCCACCTCCATCCGGGTTTCTGCGAAAGCAATATTTTGTTCCTTTTTAGAGCTTGAGTAGTACTCCATCGTGTATACATGCCACATTTTCTCTATACACTCATTGATTGAAGGGCATTTAGGCCCATACCATTTTTGTGGTTGCAAATTGTGCTGCTATAAACGTGTGAACAAGTGTCTTTTTCATATAATGACTTTTTGTCCTCTGGATAGATACCCATAGTGGGATTGCTGGACCATGTTATAGTTCAACTTTTAGCTCTTTAAGAAATCTCTGTACTGTTTTCTACAGTGGTTGTGTTAGCTTCTGTTCGCACCAGCAGTGTAAAAGTGTTCCCTTTTCACCACATCCATGGCGACATCTGTTGTTTTTTTCCCTTTTAAAACTGTGGCCATTCTTGCAGAAATAAGGGGTTAATGTGTTGTATATGTTCTTTTGAGAAATGTTTGTTCATGTCATTTGCCCGCTTTTCGATGGGATTATCATTACTGTTTCCTTGATGATTTGTTTGAGTTCCTTGTAGATTTTGGATGCATAGTTTGCAAACATTTTTTCCCAAGTGCTGGGTTGTCTGTTTATTCTGCTGGTTATTTCTTTTTATGTGCAGAAGCTTTTTAGTTTAATTAGAGTCAATCTGTTTATTTTTGTTCTTATTACATTTGCTTTTGGGTTTTTGGTCATAAACTCTTTGCCTAAGCCAATGTCTGGAAGAGTTTTTCCAATGTTATCTTCCAGAATTTTCATGGTTTCAGGTCTTAGATTTAAGTATTTGATCCATCTTGAGTCGATTTTTGTATAAGGTGAGAAATGAGGACCCAGTTACATTCTTCTGCATATGGCTTGGCAGTTATCCCAGCAACATTTGTTGCAAAGAGTGTTCTTTCTCCACTTTATGTTTTTATTATTATTATTATTTTGAGACTGACTCTCGCTGTGTCACCTAGGCTGGAGTGCAGTGGCATGATCTTGGCTCACTACAACCTCTGCCTCCCAAGCTCCAGTGATTCTCCCGCCTCAGCCTCCTGAGTAGCTGGAATTAAAGGCACCTGCCACCATGCTTGGTTAATTTTTGTATTTTTAGTAGAGACAGGGTTTCATTCTCTTGGTCAAGCTGGTGCTGAACTCCTGACCTGAAGTGATCTGCCCACCTTGGTCTCCCAAAATGCTGAGATTGCTGGCATGAGTCAGGGTGCCCGGCCGCATATTTGTCTTTGTTTCTGGGATATCTGTTATATTGGTGTGTGTGTCTTTCATTCTGGGACCATGCCGTTTTGGTAACTATAACCTTGTAGTATCCAAAGTCAGACAAAGTGATGCCTCTGGATTTGTTCCTTTTGCTTCGTCTCGCTTTGGCTTTGTAGGCTGTCTTTTGGTTCCATATGAATTTTAGGAGTGTGTGTTTTTAGTTCTGTGAAGACTGATGATGGTACTTTGATGGGAATTGCATGGAATCTGTAGACTGCTTTTGGCAGGGTGGTAGTTTTCACAGTACTCTGCCCATCCATTCTCGTGGGATGTGTTTTCATTTGTTGCTGTTGTCAGTATTCCCTTCAGCAGTGTTTGGTAGTTTTCCTTGTAGACTCTTTCACCTCCTTGGTTAGGTAGATTCCTAAATATTTTCTTTTTTTGTAGCTGTTGTAAAAGGGGTTAAGTTCTTGATTTGTTTCTCAAGTTCGTCATTGTTGCTGTAGAGAATTGCTATTGATTTTGTGTCCTGAAAGTTTACTGTATTTATCAGATTACAAGCTTTTTGGATGAGTCTTTAGGGTTTTCTAGCTACATGATCATATCATTAGTGAATAGCGACAGTTGGATTTCGTCTTTACCCATTTGGATGTCCTTTGTTTCTTTTCTCTGGTTGCTGTGGCTGGGGCTTCCAGTACTTGATGTTGAATGGAAGTGGTAAAAGTGTACATCCTTCTCTTGTTCCAGTTCTCAGGGGGAATGCTTTCAACTTTTCCCCATTCAGTAGATTATTGGCTGTGGGTTTGTCATAGATGGCTTTTATTACGATAAGGTATGTTCTTTAATCATAGAGGGATGCTGGATTTTTTTGTTATATGCTTTTTCTGCTTCTATATTGAAATCATATGTTTTTTCACATTTTAAAATTCCTTTTATGTGCGGCATCACATTTACCGACTTGTGTATGTTAAACCATCCCTGCATCCGTGGTATGAAACCCACTTGGTCATGGTGGATTATCATTTTCATATGATGTTGGATTCGCCTAGCTAATATTTTGTTGAGGATTTTTGCATCTGTGTTGTCAGGGATATTGGTCTGTAGATTTATTTTTTTGTTATGTCATTTCCTGATTTTTTTTTTTTTTTGAGACGGAGTTTCACTCTCGTTACCCAGGCTGGAGTGCAATGGTGCGATCTCGGCTCACCGCAACCTCCGCCTCCCAGGTTCAGGCAATTCTCCTGCCTCA